GCAGGGCACGACAGCTTGAAGCAGTCTCCGGGGATGGATGTCTGTCTTTCGGGGATGCTTTGCGTCTCTCGTGTACGCTGACGGGTTAACGAGGTCTCCCTGCGCTATGCTGTGGACGCTTGGCGATGCTCTTTCTGAAGACACTTGAGTGTGTGTATATTAATCCCAGCATCCTGATCGAACCCTGCCTTCGCTCTTTCCCCTTCAGCAATCCTGAGCGGCTCTTCCAAGACTGAGTCTCTTTGGAACTGAGTTTTTGGTGTCAGTTTTTTAGATTCCATCTATAAGCGATACTGTACGATATTTGTCTTCCTGTCTCTGACATAATTCACCTAGAATGATCCCTGGCAGGTCCTTCTCTGTGTATATATCCCTGTGTAAATATCCCAGACCCTGTGGTGTCTGTGTCTTTAGGTTTTTAAGGAAACTCCACGCTGTTCTCCACAGTGGCCGTTAGCAGTTTCCGTTTTCAGCAGCAGTGAGGAGAGTTCCCCTTCTCCAGGCCCGCTCCAGCACTTACTGTTTTTAGACTTTTTGATGATTGCCTCACTGACAGTTGAGAGGTGATCCCTCAGTATAGATTTGATTTGCATTCCTCTAATGATGTACAATGTTGAGGATCTGTGTTAGGTCCTTTTTCCTTTTACACAGTGAGTAAAGTTACCTGTTGAAATTGGCTTCTTCAAAGCCTGCCCTGTTTTGAATTGTTACTCTATTACGTACCCCAGCCATTTCTTTTTTTTTTTTTTTTTTTTTTTTTAATTTTTATTAGTTGGAGGCTAATTACTTTACATCATTACAGTAGTTTTTGTCATACATTGACATGAATCAGCCATGGATTTACATGTATTCCCCATCCCAGTCCCCCCTCCCACCTCCCTCTCCACCCGATCCCTCTGGGTCTTCCCAGTGCACCAGGCCCGAGCACTAGTCTCATGTACCCAACATGAGCTGGTTATCCGCTTCACCCTAGATAATACACATGTTTCAATGCTGTTCTCCTGAAACATCCCACCCTCGCCTTCTCCCAGAGTCCACAAGTCTGTTCCATACATCTGAGTCTCTTTTTCTGTTTTGCATATAGGGTTATCGTTACCATCTTTCTAAAGTCCATATCTAACACCATACACAAAAATAAACTCAAAATGGATTAAAGATCTAAATGTAAGACCAGAAACTATCAAACTCCTAGAGGAGAACATAGGCAAAACACTCTCCGACATAAATCACAGCAGGATCCTCTATGACCCACATCCCAGAATTTCAGAAATAAAAGCAAAAATAAACAAATGGGACCTAATGAAACTTAAAAGCTTTTGCACAACAAAGGAAACTATAAGCAAGGTGAAAAGACAGCCCTCAGATTGGGAGAAAATAATAGCAAATGAAGCAACAGACAAAGGATTAATCTCAAAAATATACAAGCAACTCCTCCAGCTCAACTCCAGCCATTTCTTGAGGGAAGCAGTCTTCCAGCCCCGCAGACCTTGAGAGTTTCAAGTGCCCTTGTGCACGTTTTAACGTTGCTGTTACTCAAAATGGCCACAAGGAGGCAGCATGTCTTCATTCCCGACTCTGCTTATTGGGGCACCGTAGACTTCCAGAAAGGATTGCTCTGGGTTCTGAATGAGGGTGGAATGTGCCAGAACAAACACCCACGGGTTTGCGTGTCTTGCCCATTTCCCTTCACCAGCCAGCCCCCCACTCCAGACAAACCCCAGACTCTCAAATCTGTTCTGCTGAGGTGTCTGTCAGTATTTGAGAAGGGCAAGCTGCTTAAAGGAGGTCTCACCTGCCACCTGTCAGAACGGCCGTCGCGTCAAGTTGCCGGCAGTAGACGCTGCAGACTGTGGAGAGATGGGAACCCTCCCACACCGTTTGTGGACATACGATTTGGTCCAGCCGTTTAGGAGTGGAAGCTGCTTAAAAAGCTAAAAGTAGAACTACCATATGATCTAGCAGTCCCACTCCTGGGCATAATTCGAAGAAGATTCATGCACGCCTGTGTTCTTTGTGGTGGTGTTTACAGTCACTGCAGGTAATCAAAGTGTCGATGTAATTGACAGAGGAATGGACAAAGACGATGTGGTACACATAAACAAGGGAATGTTACTCAGCCATTAACAAGAGTGAAGCAATGTCATTTGCAGCAACAGCGATGGACCTGGAGATTAGTATAAGTTAAGTCAGTCAGAGAAGGAGAAATACCATATGATGATGCTTACATGCATGTGGAATCTAAAAGAAAGATACAAGTGAACTATTTACAAAACAGATACAGACTCACAAGAGCACAAAGTTGGTTCCCCGGGGGAGTGGCTGGGAAGTGGATTGGGAGCTTGTGATTGACATGTGCACACTCCTCCAGATAATTGACAAGGCTCGCTGTGTAGCACAGGGAACTTGGCTTAGTATTCTGTAACAGTTTAAGTGGGGAAAGAAGCTGAAAACTAGTGGATACTTGTACAGGACAGGGAATCACTTCGCTGTGCACTTATAGCTAACACCTCATTGTTAATCAACTACACTCCAATATAAAATCTGTTGTAAACAACTTGAAAATTTTCAAGATCTCAAAGTAACATAGAACAGGGCAATTCACCATTTTAATTAAAGCAAATTAGAAATCCGGTGGGAGGCTCCTGTTGTAAATTACAATCTATTCATTTCCACTCCTCTCTTGCTAATTTTTTCCAATGATGGGTTTTAAAAGCTAGCAACATATGAGCTAATAAGCTTAAAGAGTAGAATACTGAGGTAGCAAATGCATTTCAAACAGTTGTAATTATCTTTGGCAGAGTGTAGTTTTATTATTACAGTGGTTTATATGGCAAAGTATAAAAATATATTTTATGTAAGTCAGTGCATCACACTCTTTTACTGTTATTAAATCTTGGAAGCTTGACATAGATTATTTTGGAGTGCTAATTGTATAATTCACAGACTAACATTAAAAGATTGAGTTTTGTGTCAAAATACACTATGTCAAGTGATATGAGAAGAGAACTTAAGCCTAGTAGTAAAAAGGTGTATTTTACTTCCATGGAGTTTGCAGTCTCTGAGATGAAGTTATACTACTCTCATATTGACATGAGTTCCTCTATTTCATTTTTAATAGTTTCTCGTGTATAATTAAAACCTGAGTGACCCAAAAGTAGCATTTGCTAAGGGATATAAATATTTCTAAAACTTTCTTTGACCGCTTAAAAATTCTTACTAGTTTCTTTCTCCCGAGCAATTCCAAAATTTACTAGAATTGCCTTCATTTTAGGATGACATTACATAGAGTAATAATGACACACGATAATAAAGACCTACAAAAATCACTCCACTGTAGTATTATACATGTATCTGTTTGTCAATAATTCACATCTTTCTAGAACTTCTTAATCCTGGCACAAGAAGTTTTTTCATTAATCAGATCTCCAGGCAACTTTGTGCTAACGTTAGACATCTTCAGCATAATATAAGGCAATATAAATTAGGTGATATGGCAGAAATAACTAAAGTGATAAGAACTTCTTATGGATCTGTATTTATCAAAAGGTACTGTACCCTCTGAACAGTATCATCAAGCAGTGTCCTAAAGAATGAATTAGTGTATGGGAAAGGTATATTCTGTTAAGTTTTCCCTGTTCTGAAAATGGTTGAAGATGAACACATACTATGACCCAACAATTCCTACAGAACTATAACTAATTTCTAGTTATATACCCCCAAAAAATACATATGTAAGTTCACCAAAAGACTCATTCTAAAATGTTCACAACAGTAGTATTCATAATGAGAAAAATTTACAACTCTATACACGCCCATCAATAGTAGAATGGATATGTAAATGGTGGTATGTTTATATCAGAAAGCACAGCAGTAACAAGGAGCAAATTGTAATGGATCTCACAAACATAAATGAGTGAAAGAAACCAAACATTAGAAATGCATGTGGTTCTACTCCATGCATAACATGGGGAGGGTTACTGAGATTCTGAGGATGCTTTGTCGCTTGATTTAAAGGTTGCTTACATGGGTATTTAATCTGATTGTGAAAATTCAGCTATCTGTGCACTTATGCTGTGTCATCATTTTGCATATATATTATTCTTCAGTATATAATTGAAGAAAGTGGCAGAAGTAGATTGAAGATACAGGTCAGAGGAAATTGTGTGCGTTATTGCCACACCAGAGCAGACTGGTTGGCTGTCTCACCTCCACAACTTTGGGAAGAAATAGGAACCAAGCCTTGGACTTCAAGTTCTTCAAAATTTTGAATACCTAGATAACAAGACCTATGTCTATTTACATTTTCTTTTAATAGTACCAAGTGCTTAGTAAACCTCTTTATGATGATAATGACAAGAGCTGTAGTAGTTGGTGTTAATTCAGTATTGTTGTCATTTAAAATAAGGGGAATCATGACAGATGAGCTGCTTTAAACATTGTTTACATTTGATATAATTGAGCAACACATAGCCTATGCTCAGTAACGTACACTCAGAAAATAACACTATTAGCACAAATGTATAAATAGACTCTTGAGAGTCCCTTGGACTGCAAGGGGATCCAACCAGTCCATCCTAAAGGAGATCAGTCCTGGGTGTTCATTGGAAGGACTGATGCTGAAGCTGAAACTCCACTACTTTGGCCACCTGATGCAAAGAACTGACTCATTGGAAAAGACCCTGATGCTGGGAGGGATTGAGGGCAGGAGGAGAAGGGGACGACAGAGGATGAGATGGTTGGATGGCATCACCAGCTCAATGGACATGAGTTTGGGTAAACTCCGGGAGTTGGTGATGTACAGGGAGGCCTGGCGTGCTGCGATTCATGGGGTCGCAAAGTCTCGGACACAACTGAGCAACTGAACTGAATATACATCTTGCCGATATCATGTGTGACTGGCATAGCTAAAAACAATATTTAATTGGCTTAAACATAAAATGATGATCTGGCTGGCTATTCTTTACAGATAAGGGTATAAACTACCAACCTGTGCTTTGCAGGGGACTGTTATTTGAAGGACTGGTCTTCCTGGAGCCTGTGTCAGCTGACCTGTGTGAACGGCGAGGACCTCGGTTTTGGTGGAATACAGGTCCGTTCCAGAGCGGTGATTATACAAGAACTAGAGAACCAACATCTGTGCCCAGAGCAGAAGCTGGAAACAAAGTCATGTGACGGTGAGTGTGACATTCATGACACCTGTTTATTTCAGTGTTGTGTTAATAAGCAAAAGAAAAAGTGTAAATTTTTCTGTTAGATAAGGAAATTTGCTAAGATCTCACTTTTAAAAAGTTGAGAATTAGGTTAAGGGTATGATTCTGAATTCTAAAGATTCAGAGAAGAGTCTTGCCACCCTTCATAAGTTAGGTATGAAATACTTAAAAGTATCTCTAAGTTTTATGAATTAAAGAAAGTTAAGATTCGGAGCATGTTGTTTGTACATACCTATAACAATCCTGATCCAATGTGAATCTAAAAATATCCTCAGTTTATTTAAATCGAAAGAAAAATTACAAAGAAATAGCAAAATGAGACATTTTACTATATTCTCAGAAATTGATAAAGTATTGGTAAGGATTGGTCTGAATTTTGCATACAGAATATATAAAAATATATGTTTATGTGTCTGTGTGTATATGTGTGTACACAGAGCCATGCATCCAATATAAGCAATACATTACATTTACAAAAACCACAAAGCATTATTGTTACCTAGAAGAGAATGTCTTGCTCAACAAAAAACCTTCTCACCCTTGCTTATGTTCTGAAGTAATTAAGGAGCATGACATATATTAATAAAGAAGGGCCAAAATCTGTATTACTGAAAAGTTGAGGAAAGCTTAGAATTTTGGAGAACAATGCTTAGAATAAAAGCTACCTGAGCCAGATGACTTAACCCAGGAATTATTGAATTATCCACCTTATTGATTACATTTTCTCAAATTTACCAACCATATTCTGGGGACAGGGTAAGTAAAGAAGGAGAAATAAGACAGCAGTTACAATAGATGAGTTAATTCCCAAGAAAAGAAAGAGAATTGTTTACCCCATAATGATAATTAGGAATCAGCAACAACAATTTCAAAGAAATTCTCTCATGCACCCACAGAACTAAAAACTGAACGCTACATTTCTAGAGCATTAGATAGCAAATGTTATGCAGGGTGCAGCAGGGAAGTATTTAGAAAGGAATTTAAAGTCTTACGTGCTTATGCAGGAGAGAGAAAAGTGTTAATATAAGCTTGACTTTCAACTCAATTTTAAAAAAAAATGAAAAGGGAGATAGAGTATAAGCAATACAGATAAATACAAATTCAGTGAGATAGAAAATAACCAAGATAATCAGTAAAACCAATAGCTTGTTTTTTGATCAAACAAAGTAGACTACTCATGGAAAACTCAGTGAAACAAAAGAAGAGGACAAAGTTATAATACTGATAGTGTTTAAAAAGTATAATTTCTGTGAATACATTTTGCTAATAAATATAAAAACTTGACAGCTATTTAGAATGTTATTTATTGAGAGGAATGGAGAAGCAAACCATAGATTCTGTAACTTTAAAACCCAAGTGTATCAGATAGGCTCACACATGCACACACACTAAAATCTAATGACTTTAATTTTGAGTCTTACTAAAAATTTAAACAACTCCCATTTATGTGAAATCTTAAGAAATGAAACAAAGGTAGGAAAAAATGAGAAAAATCTCCCCAGTACAACACCAAAATCACAAACAAAAATAGTAAACAACAAAAATACTTTTAAATCAAAATTTAAATCCTCTACATAGTGAAACAGGAGGAAGGCGTGACAACCCACTCCAGTACTCTTGCCTGGAGAATCCCATGGACAGAGGAGCCTGGCGGGCTGCAGTCCATGGGGTCGCAGAGAGTCAGACGCGCCTGAGCACTTGCATGTGGTAAAATAGATCATAAACAAGGTTACCAGACAAGCCACAGACATAGAAAATATATTTGAAGTCAATCTGAAGGAATTAGTGTCCAGAAACTTTTCAGCATTCCAAGACAATTTCACAGTTGCAAAATTATGGAGGACTCCAAATGGCTTTTCTTTGATGTATACATATCAAACTTTTGCACGCTGAAAAATGACAACTGTTAAGTTTTTAAATATGTGATAACTTATTTAAAACAATCACAAATCAATTGTATGTTATCATATTTCCCGAAAAATAACTATTTTCCAAAGCAAAAAGAAGGTAACTTTAATGACAAGCATGGTCTTGTTTTACACTTTTTCACATCTCTGTAACACCTGGCTGAACAGAAGACAGCTGGATTCTCTTATCTGCCTCTGCATTCAGTATATTGCCATCTTAGTTTAGTTTCTGTATGTGAAGGCAGTCCAGGCTTACTTACCCAGGTGTGTAGTTAGAGGGGAAAATCCTCACACACATACTCTGAGGGAACACCAGAGGCATCCCTGGTCCCTGGACCATCATCTGAGAACTGTTATTCTAGAATCAAAAGTTCCCACAACTCAGAAAAGGCATAGATTTCAGTAGAAGGGTTGGAGAGAACCAGAAGATACATATATGCAGTTCACAAGAGGAAATCTGAATGCTACAAAACATTTTCCTTACTGTTTGATAGCTTTGGTGATAGCTGCAATTTAGAATGACAAGATAGCTTTCCACACCCGCAAGACTGACAAGAAATTTAAATCTGGAACTTATAAATGTCTGTGAGGGTTTAGAGTAAGAGTAACTCTTATTCACTGCTGGGGAGTATGTAAACTGTCACCATTTAAAGAAAAAAATGAGCTGTGTTTAGTAAAGTTTCAGCTATCTGTACAGTAATGCCCAGAAAGTTCCCTTCTAAATATTTACCTTAAAGAAGCACTAGGAGGCTTGCACAGGGCTGACCACTGTGGCACTGTTATAATAGCATAAACTGAACACAACCTAAAAGTCCACCCATAGAGGAAATAAATTGTGGTAGTTAGTATCATGGAATTCTGTGTAGCAGTTAAAATTAATTGACTGTGTCTGTATTAAAAAATCACATAGAAATATTTCATCTATAACATTGACTATTAAGTTTCAAAAAGATGTATCATGTGTCAGTATAATGCTTTTTAAATTTTAAAACTGCCTAAAAATAATGCTGTAAGTCATTTATGGATTACATATATTTTTATTATAGTTATATTCAAAGAATAGAAAGCCTGTCACAGAAATGCTTGTATCTACTTCAAAATAGTCTATATTGCAGGACAGGCATGGAGGGAGATCAGGAAGGAATATAATAGGACATCAAGTTTGTTAGTTTTTTTAACTCATCAACAAAACTAAAGCAAATATGACTAAATGGTAATATTTGTTCAAATTGAATGAAGGGTAGTTGAATATATTTTTTCAGTTATTCTCTGTCCTTATTTGTATGTCTGATATAATGCTTAAAGCATTATATGTTTTATAATGTTTAAATATTTAAATGTTTAAAATGTTTATAATGTTTTAAAATAAAACATAAATTTAAATTGAAAATCTGGGTTCACATCAAATAGTATGGTAGCCAACTTGGAAAATTAGTTGGCATTTAGGCATGCATCTGGAATTTTGTAATATCTATATGGCAACTTCAGGATGATAACTTCACATTTGAATCATTCAGGATGGACTTCTTATCCCTTTTCAATTGTTTATAAATATTTCGTTAATACCTGTCTCCATGATTGTCCCCCTGGCCTGCAGAATGCCTCTGTTAATGTGTCTTCTGCCCTGCAGATGGACAGTGTTATGAGTATAAATGGATGGCCAGTGCTTGGAAGGGCTCTTCCCGAACAGTCTGGTGTCAGAGATCAGATGGTGTAAATGTAACAGGTAAACCTTCCATTCCTCTTTGTTCTTTGAGAGTCTTCCTATAACACACATGTAATTGGTTAAAGGAAATAATTAAGAAAACAGATAGTCCTTCAGTATTCCACATGTGGTTGAATTCAGGACACCTGAGCTGTGTACCTGATGACCAGTGATACATTATTTTACTTTTAAATGTTTCAATTAAATTCCCCCTCACCCAGCCATTTTAGAGATTACTGTCTAATTCTAATAAATTACTATTATAAGTAAATCTCAGATTGTTTCCTTAAAAATCTCATATATTAATAACTTACTACATGCTAAAAAGTCAGTGTTTTGTTGACTATATCTGTTTCTGTGCCTTAGAGGCAATATATGCAGTCCAAAAATATTGCCAAGAGAATGTGATTATACAAACCCAAATATTTTGCTTAAATTCAGAAATCTGTGACCTCTAGTTTTTTTTATTAACTAAGATACAAGACCTATTGGTAAAACTCAAGCTCAGGAGATATGAGTAGGCACTGTACCACTCTGTCCCCACTCAAAGCTTATTATACGTTGAAAGGAGACATCCAAATGAGGAGCTTTTTTTTTGAATTCCCTTTGACCCAAACAGACCCCATAGAATTAATCTACAATTACTAGAAGTTTCCTTATCTAAGTCCAGTAAAGACCTTTGAAGAGGGAAGAAAACTGACTCCAGAGATAGAGTGAGCCACCCTGCAAAACTTTCCATATCAAGGAACTAAGGTCAGAACGAGAACCTCAGCGTCAAGCCTGTGGACCCAGAGATGGGTCCCTGGTGTCTGAAACAACGTGTTTGTGGAGATCTGTCCACAGGACTCTGTAGTGTAGCCTGAGGGTTGTGCGTTAACTGTTCAGGGGACCTGCTGACTTCCTGCCATTGTTTTGACCCTCTGGCAGAAAAAAGGTAGTGTGCATTTTGGTGCCTCTGAGTAATATCCTTTTGTAAACTTAATTGTAACATCTGCAGTAAGAGGGCAGGATCAGGGATCAATATGCTTTTTGGAAAGCATAAATTTTTATATTGAATTTTAAATTACTTGGATTTACTGAAACCTAATTATGCATTTCCAGCCTATGAAAGCTAGAGCAGGATGTCAAACTGTATTCTTGTGAAGATAAGATTTTATACATGAGCAATCTGGGGTAAGCAACACTTGATAATAGCAACTCTCAGTGGACACATCTATAATAAAGACAAGACACCTACCAGGAAACCCTTTGCTCTCTGCTAGTGTCATTTTCTGGAAAAAAAAAATCCAAGCAAGCCACTGTCAGAGGTAACAGGGGGAGAGGGAGCTCTGGGAAGAGGAGCACAGGCTTTCTGAACCTGAAGACATTAGAGATCTGGTCCTTACCAGGTGGCAGTCGTGGCAAAGAATCCGCCTGCCAGTGCAAGAGATGTAAGGGATGCAGGTTCAATCCCTGGGTCAGGAAGATTCCTTGGAGGAGGGCATGCCAACCCACTCCAGGATTCTTGCCTGGAGAATCCCCTGGACAGAGGAGTCTGGCGGGCTACAGTCCACGGGTCACAGGGTCGTCAGACACAACTGAAGTGAATTAGCATGCATGGATACCACTCAACTCAGGTGTGGAAAATGAATGTCTACCTTCTTCTTTAAACCAATCGGGAGTTTTACAGCTTTCCCAGCGAATCCTGTTAGTTTTCAGTGTTTTTTTTCTTTTTTTCCAAATATGGATGCAAATAATCATTGTCTGACTTTTATTCTACACATTACAAGTTCTTTTCACACTGAAATTGGGGCTATTCCCCAATATAAAGGTAAGTCAAATTTTAAAAGACTTACCTATAGAAATCATATTTTCAATTTCTTTTCCATATAGTAGAGTATCCCATGTATTTATCCCCATCTAAAGCTGTTTTATAGCAAAAAAAAACAAATTGTGTAAATGATTTGTGATAAAACACTATATGCATTCTTCTCCCGTGTTTTAGGAGAGATGAGACTGTTTATGGGAAGTAGACAAACATGTAAAGTATGTTACCTACCCTGATCGATTGTTCTAATTTTATGAATAGTTGTCCTTACAGGAAACTCACAATATTTTCCTTTGTGTTCATGTGTTTAATGCTAATAACTTCAGTACAGCATGTCACTCCAGCTGCCTTGCAATGACTAACCACTTTTCCATAACACTTTTTCTGTGAATATTTTGTTTATAATGTTAAGTGATAAGGCAGGGAGTTAACACCTTTAATTAGATTCCAGAGGATCATCAGTTCCATAAATAAAGGAAAATTTTTGCTTTGCTAAAATTCTGTGAAATTGATCAAGTATGGTTTGAAACTATGAGTTCTTTATGTGCTACCAGTTCTGTTTCTTAACGACATCTAGTCTCATCTTGAAAACTTCATTGTAACAACTGTGGCATACCTGGTACTAAACTTGAGAAGGAGGAGGAAATAAGAGGGGTCACTGGAGAACTGCAGTGTCAAGTTAAAACAATAGTGCAGACATACCACTTAGAAGCTGCATTTGTTTTCTGATATACCAAAAAAAAAAAAAAAAATCCTGAATTAGTGACTTTCTCCAAAAGAAATATGTATTATAAAAAATCCATTTACAAGGTTGTCACATAAATCAAAAAGGTATCTTAAGTTGAAGACTGTTTATTCACAAAACAAGGAAAGAATTTTAACTTTAAAAGAGAATTAAATCTGCATTTGAATGTTGGACTTGGTCTCAGAAACTGTGACATTAGCTTGCAGACAATTAGTGTTTTCAAAGTATCAGCTATAAAGTCATCTAATCAACAGGTCTTACTGAGCACCTGCTGGGGTGGCCGTGCTGTGTCCTCTGAATGAGAAGGGTCTCAAGTTCCTAAATAAAGTGGTCAAGGCTAACCAGGGGTTCCAGTCAGCCGCCCTTGGAAGTCTGTGGGACTCCCAAGGAGGTTCAGGATTCAAAGACCTGTCCACAACAATGGTGTATTTTTTTTTTTAATCACTGCAAGAGATGCTACTTATCAGAATATGATTTTCTGTTCTGCAGGGGGCTGCTTGGTGGTGCGCCAGCCTGATGCTGACAGGTCTTGTAACCCACCGTGTAGTCAACCCCACTCACACTGTAGCGAGGTATGTGTGAATTCACTAGAGTAGCATCGTTTGTCACCACACTGCTTCTGGTACAATCCATCCCCCCTCACCCCGAAAAATATCTTGAGGCATAAAAATTCTATTTTGGGACTTCTTCTTTTATCAGTATAAATAAATCTGAATGCACTTCCTTCTACCATTAGAATAAATTTGTATCAGGTACCAAAAAAGTGTGTTGTTTTTTACAAAGTGGTGACAGAAATTACGTGGAGTAAATTCCCAGAACAGCACTCCCTTAAAGCCTGCCCTTCAGGTCAGCTGCGGTACACGTACAAAGATCACCTCGCATGTACAGTGTGAGTCTTGTTCTCCTGCAGACAAGGGTGTGCAGCTGTGAAGAAGGGTACACTGAAGTCATGTCTTCCAATGGGACCCTTGAGCAATGCACACTCATCCCCGTGATGGTGGTACCCACAGTGGAGGACACAAGAGGAGACGTGAAAACCAGTCGGGCCGTGCATCCGACCCAGCCCTCCAGTAACCCAGCGGGACGGGGGAGGACCTGGTTTCTGCAGCCGTTTGGGCCAGGTGAAGTGAAGTGTGCTGATGCAGGGTTCTCTAGCTGTACATTTAACCAATAATGAGCAAGCATTTTCTTAAGAGATAATTATGTCATCTAAAGTCATTTCTTTTGATACTGTCTTATATTCTTATAATTTTTATAATTATCATGAGAAAGGCAATCATACTCAAAATTCAGAGAGATGAATCTGCTCTCTTCTGAGAAAAATTCTAGGATTAATAAATTTCAGTCATAAATTTAAGATTATTTCCACATTGATTAAAGCAATCTAACTGAAAATATTAGGGGGAAAGTGTGTTGTCATGCAGAACTAGAACAAATCGAAACTATGACAAGACATTCAAGAATTTTCCATCTGACCACAGAGTGCTAAATATTTGAACCCTAAATAGGAAAGTCAGTAATTCAAGGGACGCTTGGCAGCCAGAACAGTTTCTGTCAGTGCTTGGAGCTGCACACTCAAATACTCAGAATCTGTACTAGGACCAGATACATGGGGACAGGCGTGGAGCCTTCCCGTCTCAATGGGACAGTCTCAACTTGGAGACTGACCAGACTCATGGCATTAAACAGACAGCTCATAACGTATCTAGTAATGGATTTGAAGCCTGGAGGCTGATCACATTCTATCCTTACTCTGCACATTCAGTCTCCTCAGTTGATTCAGCCATATACTCATTCCTGGGACTAAGCTGGTGCTTAAAAAGGTGCCACGGGAGCTATATGTAACTCAGGTCATGCCACTTCTCATACCCTAGAGGGATCACCACTTCATGACCAAAGGAAATTGCCAGGCAAAGCAAAGCACAAACTCCTTCCTAACTCCATTAGAAACTTCAGAAACGAAGGAAAGAATCTGCATAGCTAGCACAACTGTATTTTTAATGCATGGAGTCAAAACACTTTACCTTACTGGTGAATCACTGTTGGGATTTTTAAAAAGTATTTTCACTGCTTGGGTGATTCATATATAACCACATCACCCCTGACTTTATTAGATTTTGATCTGAAGATAAAATTTATTTTGTAAAGCCGACCTGTCTGTGGAACCATGGGAGGCTCTCCTAAGTGTCCAAGATGGCAGACCAACAAATGGCCATTTGCAATCTTGACCTTAACCAAGAATCCAAGCAGATCTCCTCATATAAAAACTGTTTTTTAAAGATAACACATTATTATTGTCATTTTTCATTTTATACTTTTCCTAAAATGAACATTTTAATGTATTAAAAAGGTATACATTATAAAAACATACAATTAGACGTTGCTCTTGTTTTCTGAAAAACCCAAAAGTATTTGTTGAATTTCTCTCAGAACAGATAAACCTAACAGAATAGTTCTTTTGATTTTGAACTCACACGGTTTTTTTAAATGTTCAGAATTGAAAAAAAGAATATCTAGAATATTAACTTGGTTTATTTCCAGCATATGAATGAACTCCTAAGTTGATCCAGCTCTAGGCAAAAATAATCATCATCATCATAGTACTGATTTGCTTTTGACATCTTTCAAATGTTGGATAAACCAGAGTCTCTGTGGGGTCAGTTTGCCCAATCTATAATTTCAATATTAAAATTAATGTTTAGCTGGTTGAGTATAACAGAAAATATATGTTGGTGTGAAGAACAAGTTAGGCAATATCATTAATACTATCACCCATTTGAAGTTTATGCAGAATATAAAACAGAAGTTCAAAGAGAATGAGACCAGAAAACCAAATTATAAAAGTTCCTATCATAAAACTAGAAAAAAAAGTTCCTGTCTTGTCTGATTCCATAAATAGAAAAGATAGGAAAAAAGTTATCTTGAGAGTCATTCATGTGTTAATCAAACTTGGTTATTTTTACAAATGATATTGTCAAATTAGTTTTAAGGCACACCACACTCTAAAGTATAAACTAGATAAAGGATTATTAATTCCAAAAATGTTTGATGTATTTACTTTCAATTCATCTGAAAAAATATTTAAATGACAAAATTTATGTTGAGATACCTGTCAGCATCAAAAAAGTTGTAGGAATTTCTTGAAATTGCATTATTTTCTTCCTTTCTCACAATTGACATTCTGAAGATAGAATGAAAATCAGAAGAAAAGATTTATATAGTGTAACACATATGTTGAGTTTAAAGTCCATATAGGAAGTAGTAGAAATTTAGACATATTAACTTGAAATCTGAACTCGAATCACAAAATTATTTATTGTTTTGCAATTCAATTTTCATTGATAATTTATCTTTAATGAAAGAGCATCTAACACATAACAATAGCAGCTTTGCATTAATCATTAACTCTGCCTAAGCAATAATTCATTTTGCATTTTGAAAGAACTTGGTCATATGTGACTGGTCGTTGGTCATAGTTAAAAGACTGTAATATATATAGCAGACTAAGGTAAATTAATGACCAATATCTCTTCTTCTTAGATGGGAGACTAAAGACTTGGGTTTACGGTGTAGCAGCTGGGGCATTCGTGTTACTCATCTTCATTGTCTCCATGATCTATCTAGCTTGGTGAGTGTTTAAATATTTAAAAATCTAAGGAGATCTGTTTCAGAGGAAATACTTTCAATTGGCCATAACCAGGAACAGCAATCTAATGTCTCAAATAAGTATTCCACATTTATTTAGGGTTCATCTGAGTTTCTGAATAAGCATAGATGAATAGTCTAAAAACCACTGACTCCGAACCATTTAATTTCTGAATATGAGCCAGAACTGCCCCAGGTCATCTTCACAAATTGTTCCCCCTGGTTATGTAAGCACCATATATTACTTTGTATACTTAAGAGTGAACTGTACATTTTTTATTAAGTTACTACTGAGGAAGAGATTATGATAATACCTAATTCAACTGTCTTTTAAAATATAAGTTGTGTTATTTATAAAAGTTTGTGGACAAATATAAATGACTATACTATAACATTATTCCATTATTAGAACCAGAGAAATTATATCTAGATAGTTTATCTTTTACAGGATAATAACATACTTGAAGGGTTCTGGTTCATGTTTACTCAGAGCATAAAACTGAGGAATTCAGAAACCAGAAAATTTGGGGGTTGAATTTAGAAAGTGTAGGCAATTAAGCAATTTTTAGATTTATCAGTGTTTCAATTTTTTTTTCATTTAAAGCAATAAAAATTACAATTGAAGATTTTCTTTCTCACAGTTTTATTGATTTTTTTTTTTAACAGCAAGAAGCCAAAGAAACCCCAAAGAAGGCAAAACAACCGGCTAAAACCTTTGACCTTAGCCTATGATGGAGATGCTGACATGTAAGTCTTAACTTACCCTGCAGCTTCCAATTTCAGCTTTCTGCCTTTGCTGTAGATGTCCAGAGGCCACAAAGCTATTCAAACTGTGTGGATTAAACTACAGTGTTACTTCTTAAAAGATCATCATTAAGGAAGGAGTGAAAATCACAGTGCCATTGGATATACCAAGACAGTGCCACTTACATCGAAACCATCAGCCCTGAGAATTCTAGATTTAGTTGATACATGATGCATTCTGAGAGTTTTGTGTGATCTTTTCTGAAATCTACCAACGGATAATTCACCTTCATCTCTAAAAACATGATGGTGGGATTGACCAGTTTAGGATGCCCGATACAAGCCTCCGTCTGCAGTGTTAAGCCCTAGTAACATTTTCGCATGAAGAGTTTAATACCAAAATCTCTACACTACTGTATTCAAACATAACAACATGCCTACTTAATTGAATGATATACATTATTATGTCAGATTATATACTTGTTAATAAGCAGTTTTAATGGTGGCTAAAAATAAGCTCTAAACTGAGCAGAAAACCCATTGAATAAATTCAACATCTTGGTGGTTGATAATAGTTTCACTGAGCTGCATTTCAGAGGCAAAGACCCTTTTGTAAGACTTCTTGTCTCTCTCCAAAGTGCGAATGCTGGACATGTACTAGTCCTTTAGAAGAGTCCTCAAGTTCAGTATTTTACAATGGTTATTGTCTGGAAAACTAATTTGCTTGTGTTAATACAGTACATTTCTACTTTCCCTAATTTTCAAACTGGTTGCCTGCATCTTTTTTGCTATACGGAAGGCACATTTTTGCACTATATTAGTGCAGCATGATAGGCGCTTAACCAGTATTGCCATAGAAACTGCCTCTTTTCATATGGGATGAAGACATCTGTGCTCAAAGTGTCGTGGAGCCATTTACAAGTTCTTGTGTCCTGAAGAGAGTAAAAGTTCAGCTGGGATGGCGACAGGATGGAGTTAGCTGTTATATCTGCTGTGTACATACTTCCTCATCGCTGAAGCCATTGTGATATCAACAACATGGCGATAACTTAAGTGTTTAAGTCCCGAACTCATTAACCCTCCAAAAGATGGATCCCTCTAGTCAATTTCTAATTGTACTCTGAAGGCTGTTTATGACTAGATTTTTATATTTGTTATCTTTGTTAAAAAAAGAAAAGAAAAGAAAAAAAGGAGCTGGTGGTCTTTTTAATTTTGAGCGGATGGAAAAAATAACTTATTGGTGATTTTTTGTAACTAAAAGAAATCAAAATGGTCTGATTTTTTTTTTCTCCCAGATTTGTTTTCCTACTTTCAGATGGAATGTATTTCAAAATCTATAATTTAGTTTTTCTCAGTGGCAAAATTTGAAGCAAGTCTTTTTAATGTATGATATAAAAAACTAGAATTTTCAAAAGAGAAAAATAACTATTTTGTCCAGGACCTCATTAAATATCTAGACCAAGGGTAACACATTTTTTTTTCCTTTGTAAAGGTCAGATGGTAAACATTCCAGCCAGGCCTGTGTTGCAGCTTGTCCATTCTGCCATTGTGGGAACACAGCCATAGACAATACACAATACAGCACAGAGAGAATGAGCATGGCTGTTTTTCAATAAAACTTCCTATAAAGTCAGCAGGCCACATTTGCAAGTTGCGATTTACTGGTCTAGAGGTTTTGTCCAGTGCTAATTCTCCATCATGTCATCTTGAGTTTTCACTCATTTGCCCTCTGACTGTGATCAGTGTTTAATTTCAAAACCGAACAACAGTCATTGAATGTCTTAATGTATTGCACGTAGTTATATTTTTCACAGATGTAGCCCTGGGAATGGCACAGTAAAATGATATCTAACTTGGCCGGTTTCTTGCATATGAAAAGAAAATCCAAAAGGTGCCATTAAAAAGCAATACCATTTTTCAGGCAACAACCTTTGGGAGAGGGGAGGACATCAGATGTTCAGGTCTTTAAAAAAAAAAAAAGTATCACAAGCCATTTTATCTTAAACATAGCTGTGTTGGTATACAAGTGATTAGGACTAGAAGGTATTTCACCTTCATACTAGAGTTTGAATTCACCCTACTGTTCATTCTAGCGTATCTGCAAAGATTACAAAAGATAGATTAGAATAAGCAGATTTCTACATATTTCAATAAACATTAAAGGTGGTATGCACTAATACCTTGGTCAGTATTTCCTGTGTTAAGTAATGTGTAAATCATTTCTGAGCAAACAGGTTATCAGGAAAATGAGAATTTTGCCTTATACCAAGGATTTCAACAAGGAAAGGCATAAAAACAAATTCCATCTCATCTGTCTTACTAAAGAGGAAGACAAAAATAATATTGTCACCCTAAAACTGTGATTGTCAAAAAATGTACTCAGGGGTCTCCCAGATAATCAAGTTGATTTACTTGAGTAAAATGAGCTCCCATTTGTCCAAAATGGTTGAGAAAGAATCTACTACCATTACTTGAAGAATCTTGCTAAGTCTTATGAAATGCATGCCACACCTAATACTCTTGAAATTGTTGAGTTGAAAAAATTGTTACGACTAATGCTATACTTATAATACTGTAAAATGGCATTCATTCAGAAAGCAGATAAGTTAAAATTAAATGAATTCATAGGTCAAAATTATGTTATGAAAATGCAAGGTGACCTTATTCATAAATTGACTACCTTTTACAACATTACATGTATGAAGTAATCTAGATTCAGTGTGACCTAATATTAGGGAGCATATTGGAAGTTCATCATTAGGATAAATAAATACCAGATGGCCTCTCGTTAGGAAAGGTACAGGGAGGCTATTTTGGACAAATGAAGGTTACTATATTCATGTTTATAACATGAAAATGGCCTTATTTTTGTTCTTGGCATAAGTCAATAATGAGTTAAATACTTTACTGGGATTTCATCAAAACAGTATTCCTCCTGTTCATTCTAAGAATTCAGGAGGGGAATATAGTAGTAACTTGTCTATTGACACTTTTGCCTTACCAAAATGGTCTGTGAGCCCACAAAGGTTAAGAATCACTGTTCTGTAAGTATGAAGGTCTGCTTGGTTGGAAAAAAAAAGAAATGAAAAACATTGGCACACTGTTATTTTGTTGGACTGTTTCCATTTAAACGGCATAGAAGTGGCATAACTGATCTATCTTGAAAGGGGATGATTTGTTCATTCATCAATATCTAGTCTAGGAAACTGACCATAATCCTTATTTCAAAGCCTTTTCGAGGACACTACAGTGTAGCTTAAAGCTAATTTGAAAAGGGGTTCATAAAAGCATGTTCTTAATTATAGCAAAGCACAAAGTACCTGTAATAAGACTAATATTTATTGAATTATCACACGTAAGACACTCTGCTAGATATTGTAAAATATTAGTAACGGCTTTTGTTTACACGCATATCTAAGATGTTCAAAAGAAGGGGAAAAGCTTAATGAGTGAAAATGAAACACACATCACCCCTCACTCTAGATCTGGTGTTCAGACTTGGTTGACATTTTTCCTTATGTGATGTCTGTGTGTCCAGCCACGCTGTCAGGCTTGGGCTGTGTGTCTGCTCCACCCGCAGGCAGGTAGCAGTGGCTCCAGCAGCTTAATCTGAGCCCTCTCAAGTTCCTAGACATTTCAAGACAGTCAGTTATTTAAAACTTCTCATAGGAAGCAGGTAACGCCTCTCAATTTTTTTAAGCTCCAACTCGCTGTACGCCCTTGCTCCCTTACAGGGATGCCCAACGCCTGGTCTCTGTCCAGTCTGCACTCTTAGCAACAACTAGTCTTGTCTGCTTCCCCCAGAGCCACCTTCTGCTAAACATGCCTGCATTTTTAATAAGAAAAGAGGTGACTACCCACGTCTCTTTCCTGTTGGAGTCAAAGTGTCGCTTAGAGAGTGAACAGTTTGGTTTAAACAAATTGTACCAGTCAAAGACGCGGATCAAGAAAGGAAAGCTGTGGAGGACATCCCCCCACCCCACCCCACCCCACAAAAAGACCTTGCCTGTAAAAATGTCAGTCCTTACCTTAGACTTAGTCCCACCCAGTACTCCCCGCTCCACCAGCCTTCCCGTGTCTGTACGCGTCCTCCCCGACGAGACAGCGAGGGAGGCCTGCAGCTCTCGAAACTGACGAAGAGCCAGTCCTTAGGCTCAGTCAAGCTTTGCATAGACTTGCAAGAATCAGGCTTCCCAAATGGCCCAGGGCCTCACTATCTGTAAATATACTATCAAATTAAAATGTGTTTCTTGTTCTGTTTCCCCTCTGAGCTTGAGGGTGGTGAAAGAGGCGCAGTCCGTGAACACCTCTGTGAGGAGTCAGGTCAGACAGTGATCTTCCCCGGGTCTGGTTGAGATGTGAGAACGGAAATTGCTGCCTGTCCCCTCTGGTGCTGCCCCCTGGTGGCCGGAGCTAACAGCGGATTTCAGGGTCTGAAACAGGAGCGCGGGCCCCGCAGACGGGACTGTAAAAAGGATATTATGCAGTGTGATTCGATAATTCTGTATCTAGCAGGGACACTGAAAAATGGTTATGTCTACGTTGTTAAATGAGCAAAACAAATGCTAAATGGGTAGAGTTAATTTTGTAGCTTTATGTTTTTGTGCTTCTACCAAGCCTGATCGTAAAATGGGCAATTTTATGAAGACACTTAGTTGTGAGAGTCATGTTTTCAGCGATCAAAAATCTCTAGTCTATTTAGACTGTCCTTGGGTGTCAGTCTTCCTGTGTTTTGTAGATTTTTTTTAAGCAATAGTTTCTAGATCACCTGCTTTGAACCCTCACTGAGCTTCTCCCAACTATTTTTCAGGACTCTATTTATGTTTATTTTTTTAAAATAAACATTAAGATTTCCTTTCTGGTACTTTTTTCTTGCCTATTTTTAGCACAGAGATTTTGAAGCGATCAGTATCTGTCATTGTAAAAGATAACTTTATTAAATTTGCAATGTCTTTCTATAAATTATAACCCCCAAATGTGTTTTCTTTTTGGTTAATTTAATTACCTGAGTATTTATTTTGTTTAAATAAGAAGGCAGCTGTCTAAGAAGTTTTTGTTAATATTACTTTGTAAATTGTGTAATGTAATTTATTTTAAATTATATACATTTCTTTTTTAATGCACAAGAGGTCTATGTACAATTTACTACAGATTTGCAAATACTGTCACTAAGCTTTACTCAGTTAATACAGATGGCATGTGAAGATGTAATATGCTTTTTTACATTTTCATATGGGTTATTTGTAAATAACTGTTGCTGATAAACATAAACACGGAGATCATTTTCATTCTACTTGTGTGTATCTGTGTTTTAATTTGCATCATTTGCTGCTGAAGTGTGGGTTGACATATATTTTCAGTGAAAAAAACATCTTTTTACTATCATATTGCCCTCTCCTGGGTCTTTTTGTTTGTAATCCCAATTTAGAAAGTTTGAGATGCAACCCTTTAAGTGTCTGCAGAAGCCACAGTTTAATCATCCTGGACAAAGGACCTCTTGGTTTCCAGCACATCACAAGGTAGGAAGCAGCAGGGGACGCTAAGACCCGCTGGAACACTAAGGCTCAGCGCCTCTTCCCCCTCAGTCAGAAGGCAAGCCACTCCCCATCCCTCTTCCCTGTGTCTGCCGGGAGGAGACTAACCCTTAGAAAGAAGGTGGAAGCTCATGCTTTAATAAATTAAGATTCCTTCACTCTCCAAATCAAGATGCACATGTAACAAATTCAGAAAGGGATGCACAAATTAAATGAATCATTGCAATTATTGTTAGGGTAGCTTGCAACTAAAACATTTTTTGAAATCACTGTTTGCTAAAATATGACTAATAAGGAAGGAACCCATTAAATATAGTATATAAAGCTCAAAATATACAGCTAGACTCAAATGCTTGATGAAAAAACAGTGATTTGCAAGCTCCTTAGTTTCTATCTTATTCATTACAACTGATTTAAGAGGAGAATTTTTAAAATAACTGATGTATCTCTAAGTATTTGAACATTCATAGTCAAATCACTAACTTCATTTTTTATTTTGCAACTCTAATTTGTGTCCTGCAAACACAAATATGAACATGACTGGTCTACATTTTGCTGGTTGGTCTGAGTCCCTAGTGAGTCCTTTCATTACACACCAAACAGACTCCAAAGAAAAGCCAGCGCACAGTGCAATTTACAGGCCTTGTCAGTGTCCGTCACTCTGAAAACAGCTTGTCCATACAGAAGTGCTTACATGCAGTCAGGCTTTCTGATGTTGCATTTTTTTTTTTTTTCTTTTATTCCAAGGATCACTCTCTCTCCGTTTTCCACCTTCTACTGTAGCATCTCCCTGCCAAGGGAACTCAAGTTAACAATCTGATATGTATTCAGCCATGTTTTTCTCCTTGACCATATAATCTTATGAATATGATGGTGACAGGGGTGGAAAAAGAGAAGACATAAAAATGAGTTAAATTTAGTAGATACAATTGGAAAACAGCTTCATTTCTTTTCCCGTTACTGTTTCAAACTTTGTCCTCCCATTGGCAACACCTAAGGCAAATCCCATAGCTTTTTGGTCACTTTATGGAAAAGTTATGGAAAAGACTCAATCCCGGCTAGAACAAACATCAGTCTGTCTCATGGTTTTTCATTTCTTCGGTGACTAGCAAATTTGAACAACATCTGTCTTTCCTATTGAGTTTGGTCCTCTCTTACATATCATCTTTAAATGGCAATTTTGTTGTAGTTGTTAATTTTAGGCCATCAATGAAATTTAAACTTGGATAAAGAAAAATTTCTGAATTTTATTTCTCCATAATCTAGTTTTCTAGCCCAGGCAGAGATGATCTTAATAAGGGCCCATGCCTCTTCATTGTCCCCAGCTCTCTGCTCTTTCCTGAGCATGCTCACCGTCCTCTCTTGATGGCCCTTGAGGCCAGCGTCACATGGAGGTGATAAAGTTGGAACCAAATCTTCTCTTAAAACCACACAGTTTCCTTAGAGCTCTGCCCTTACTGTTGTCTCTACCTGGAACACTCTTCCCCTTGATGTAAGCCTGGCAGCTCCCTCACTGCATGCAGGTCTCTGCTCAAATGCCACCTCCTATGAGAAGTCCTCCTTGACTACCTTTATCCCTTTTATTTCCTCTTGCCCTTTTTTATTTTCTTTGTGGTCCTGATTTTATATATCTTTTTGGCCTGTGGTTGTGTTTTTACTCTCTCTCAGATACACGTGAGAGAGGCCAAGTCTATCTGTTTTGTTCCTCACCTGGAATCAAGTCCAACAATGTAGTAAGAACAAAGTCTTGTTGGATGAATAAGTGAACCAAAGAATTAGTGAACTGTGAGGTTAATGTACAGAGTCAGTAAGGTTAATTAGCAGATCAGTTATAAAGAGGGCCTCCCTGTGGCTCAGCTGGTAAAGAATCTTCCAGCAATACTGCCTGGGTTCGATCCCTGGGTTGGGAAGATCCCCTGGAGAAGGGAAAGGCTACCCACTCCAGTATTCTGGCCTGGAGAATTCCATGGAGAAGTCCATGGGGTCGCAAAGAGTCGGACACAACTGAGCGACTTTCACTTCACACTTCAAGGTTACTTGACCAACTAATTCATTCAAAGCTTCAAGTTGTCAGTTCTCTGTCATGAATCATTTTATATTATTTCACTTGCCAGAAATACATTCACCTAAACTACTCAGAAAGTACAATATTGTGACATGCGAAGAGCAGTAACAGAGCAGGCAAAGAAACTGTATCAGTAATGATGAGCCTGGCATCAGAGATGAGTGACAGCTGAGGACATGCCAGCAAGATGCGGGTTACGGGATTTGGAAACCTGTCTTGAGAATGGAGTCTGTAAAAGAATACTTTCATAGCTTTCTCTTATTTTCACTCCCATTGCATGGAAAATTCCAGTGGGAGATGTGAGTGAGCAGGGAATACTGGAAAATAAAGGAGGCAGGCAATCACAAATTTCTAAAAAAAAAAAAAACCCTTGTTCCAGGATCCAAAAGCAGCCTGACTCTCCTACTAAGTCTTACACTGTATTAATTTACTTTATGGTATAATATAATACCAATAATATCTTGAGTGTCCCTTGGACTGCAAGGAGATCAAACCAGTCAATCCTAAAGGAGATCAACCCTGAATATTCACTGGAAGGATTGATGCTGAAGCTGAAGCTCCAATACTCTGGCCACCTGATGCAGAGAGCCGACTCATTAGGAAAGAACCTGATGCTGGGAATGATTGAGGGCAGGAGGAGAAGGGGACGACAGAGGATGAGATGGTTGGATATCATCATCAGCTCAATGGACATGAATTTGAATAAACTCCAGGAGATAGTGAAGGACAGGGAAACCTGGCATGCTGCAGTCCATGGGGTCACAAAGAATCAGACATGACTTAGCAACTGGACAATAATACCACCAAGTGATATACTATTTGCCTGCTTTAAAGCAGAAATACAACAATAAGAACAGAATAAAATTGCAATTCAGTGTTTCCCAAATTCCCATTACTCATTTTGAAAGAATGGAGGTGGACATTCAGCAAACATGTAAATACGTGAATTAACCATTTAAAATCCATTCTTTCCAGAATACAACGTCTTGATTTCCTGGAAAAGTGAAAAGAATTTCAAAATCAGAGTCAGGTGGTGAGTTGAGGACTATGTTCCCCACAGACTGCTGTCTTTCATAAACATAGTGATGAAAACCCAGTCAAGTCACATCTGGTTTGACAGCTGATATATAACTATACCCTTTCACAACTTATCTTTATAAAAGGCTCCCTCATTTATAATATTCATCTGGGGATTTTGGTATTTATCACTTTTTACTATCTTTGCCAAAAGGCTACATGTCTTCTGATTATACTACCTTGTTACCTACTGGAAAAATAATTTAAAAAATAAATCAAGAAGTATCCTAACTGTAGAAGGTGTCATAATGGACAGGATTTTTATCTGATATCTGCTTAAAAGATCCTTAAAAGTTACAAGAAAATTCTTTTTTGTATGTTTATTCTAATGTCTATATGTAAGAATCCACAGCAAAATCAAATTAAAATGTCTCTTATAATGAAGTAGATAATGATGTACTGAAGCTATGTCTAGTAGTAATTATGATATAATGGCATGTTGCAAGATTATAGCAACATTTGTTCAGCAATAGAAACTAAAAAGGACTTTGATACAATTCTCTTCAGAATAGGCATCATATTTGCCTTCAAAAATTAATAATCCCTAGTCAAAAATATTTCAGTGTAATTATGGATCCATGCCGAGGCATATGTAGCAGTAAATTAGTACATTTCTTAAATATCAACGCCATGCCTAGACACAGTCCGTAAGTTTTAAGAGCAGTACCTTCCACTGACAGTTACTGGATCCTGCCTATTAAACAAAGCTTGTTTTAAAAAAAACAAAGCAAAACTAAGGAGGGATCAAAAAAAATCCTAGACTGAAAGATCCTTTTTACTTTTTGGTAGGATATAAGAACAGTGTCAGAAGAACCAAAGAAAATGCAGGTGACTTTTAAACTTACAAAAAAGATTCTCATGAACATTCATAGTTAAAGAAGTGCCATTTAAGACAAAAACCCTGTGGGTGAAGGAAAATTGTTGTGACCATGCATGATCTTATCAAGTATGAGGCAAAACAGATTTTTATTTATACTCATGAGGAAAATATTAAGTCAGTGAAGGGCAATGTACCACCTTCTTAAATCAAAAATAAACATGTCTTTTGACAGTAATTCCACATAGTAGGAAGGAAGGATAGATAATAGATAACAAGTGTGGTATGTGTGTACACTGTGCGTGTGTGACAAAGATGACAGGTAGGTAGATAATTGTTACAAAGCCTGTGCGCAGTGATATAGTATAAGGATATGTATCACATTTGTGGTTATAAACATATGGAAGCAACATAATGTAAAAGTTTAAATAAATTATGGTGCATGAATAACACACAATACTATGCAAGATTCTAGAAGATCCTCATTTTTTTAGAGCTGAAGACTGGCAAAAAGTTAGTGAAAAAATCATAGCATGCACATATTCACAAAATATTTCTAAGTTATGCTCTAGAAGTAGTCTTCAAACCATGTATTTTCAGTGTTACAAACAACTGGAAATTGAGAGTCCAGATTTTTGCTACAGAATGAAACTCAAAAATATTTCATGGGGATCAGGTACATATAAAGCCAACTTAGAAAATGGTTACAGTTGAGGCACTTCAATATAAATAAAAGGAAAGATAATGCTAAATATTTGTCATTTGGAATGGTTTTTTTTTTTTTTCCTAAGTCCCTATCTTC